TTTCCCTTTTATTTCTTCTGTTTAACCTGGAGATTTCTGTCTCATGGACAGTATTTTGCTTGAACAAATTAATGAGGACAGATTGGTGGGCCTTTCCATGCACATCCAGCTGTGAAAAGGGTGAACCTAAATTAATTCTGAAAGAACTTTGGAGACTAAGAGTTGTTTCATGTAGTCCAGTCTAGTCTTTGTCTGTTTTACTATACTACTAATTCTCACTTATACACCATAGCTATATTTGGGCATAAAAGTCACATAAGAATGTTACAGCAGGTCTATTATTTACTGAGTTTACTTCTGATCTTGGCTAAAAGAAAATTAAGGCTGCTTCTAGTCTTGCTCCATCATCCCTTTCATTTATTTTCTTACAAAATTATGTCTATGTGTTTATTGGTTCAGTTTATAAACTCTGACTTTTTTCACATCCCCTGGAACTAAATTTACTGTTTGGAGCTATAGTGAATCTTGCACAATTGTACAAAGTGGCAAAGGGAAATTAATAACTGCTTAGAAGCCACAGTCAAGGAGAACTCAATAGCGATGAATGGTATGAGGTCTTCTGTGAGTTCACTTGGCCAGACAAGTAAGTAACAAATATTCTGAAAAAGCCGAAAAATAAATATGGCAGCCCTATAAGTAAATGACATGGTGTTTCAAGGGCATATCTACTGTAAGGTTAATTTTGAGCTAATTTCATTTTTTTATATATTAAAGAAATATTTTAGCCTGATATGTGACCTGACAAATCCCACCGTAAAGGAGAATAATTGGGAAACTTGAGGTTAAGTAAAATCGTCACTTACAAATTAGAGAGTTCAGAAAGAAGCCTTCTTGTTTTTAATTTTTGTTAGACTTCAAAGTGTTATGCATGACATACTTTAATTTGTTTTATATCTTTGTATGCAATTAATGCCACAGCGTTTTCATTTTTAAAGTGCTCTTTTACCCCTACAACATTACAGAGGCTTTACAGTATATACAAGATCCTATTTGCTGCAAAAAATCTACGAGCTTGTATATTCTTTAAATATTGTTAAAAATGTAAACTAGCTTGAGAAACTTAGCCCTAAGTAAAGCTTGTCAGGAAAATATTTCTAAACTACAGAGTGGAGGCCACATTATTTAGAAAAGCCTCACAGACTGCTTAAGTGTTCCGAATACTACACTGACATATAAAAATGTTTGAAATATTTGTAGTAATCATGGCTGAAACTTTAAAAAGGAGACTGGTGAATGTTATACATTTCAAACTGTAGGGGTCTTGCATGATCTTTAGGACTCTCCTTCTAAATACTCTTGGAAAATATGGCAATTAATGATTGAAATATTTTAATGAAGTTAATAACTCCTTTGCTCTAGAGATATTCCTTCAACTCTTAGTATGTGCTTCTGTAGCAGTAGATTCATGATTTTGTTTTAGACTTCTGGGTAATATTGTAAATAATACAAAAAAAAACCCACAGCTATTAACTGCCATTTACTACAAATTTCAGAGAATTCTAGGTGAAAATTGGCTGCTTTAGAAAATGCAGAAGGGTCACCATGTGTCATCCGAAATTTGTGGATGTTCAGCAGACTACTCAAACCTACTATCTGTGGAGGATTAGAGATGGCCTCAAATTCTACCTGGACCATAAACAAAGGCAGTAAAAGAGAAGACAGTAAAAGAGTAGATATAGTGCAGATATTTGGTGTATCTTGCAGATACAGGGACTTAATATACTGTATAATATGCTTTCATAACATACATATAATATACGTATGATATTACATGATTTAACTGTTTGTTTCCTTCTTTTTTAGGATCTGCCCTGGTACAATAAATAGTCTAGACAGAATCCTGACTTCAGGTTAAAAAACTGCGTACCATTTTTTTCCTGTGTTTATATCTTCTGTTGTTCACTCTTCAGACACTTTTCAAGCTTCCTAATTTCCATCTTGTATTTAATTGTCAATATCTTAATCATTCTGCTGTCACACTGGCCACATTTTAACAGATTTTTTTCTATCTGAATGAACTCCTCTGTTCTTATCAACTGTACAATCTTCTTTATTTCCATTTTTTCTGTTCTGGGACTCTGGTACTTGGTAAACTCCAAAATGGCATTTTAAAGAGTTCTCAAGGTAATTGGTGGAACTGTAATGAGATTTTTGTCTTTCAGTCTCTATCTTCCTGAAACTTGTTACCAACTGTATAAACACACTGTGTTTTATAACCAAACTATTATTTCCCTCCCCAGCATGCTATACACGTGGCTTTCAACACTTGCTGGAGGAGCACTGGTACTATATGTCTCTCTGAAGATATTTTTCCCATATTTCTGGGAGGATCTTCTCTACTTCTTGAGACGGAAGAGGTTAAAAGCAATAACAAAGAAAAGGGCAAAAAATGGAATTCTCTCAATAATTCATCTGTTCATGCAGAGAGCAGAAAAGATTCCCCATAAGCCATTCATCATCTATGAAGGGAAGGTGCATACCTACCAAGACGTAGACAAGAGAAGCAACAGGGTGGCCCAGGTCTTCCTCCACCATGGGGCTCTGAAAAAGGGTGATACGGTGGCCCTGCTGATGGGCAATGAGCCAGACTTCATCCACGTGTGGTTTGGACTGGCCAAGCTGGGCTGTGTTGTGGCTTTTCTCAACTTCAACGTCCGCTCCAGGTCTCTCCTGCACTGTATTAATAAATGTGCAGCAAAAGCACTTGTGATATCAGAAGGTAAGTCCTGTGTCTTGTTCGATTTATTACTGACTTCCTACTGCTTTATGCATTTTCTTTTAAATAGAAAATAGTTCAAAGCTTCAAGCACTTCATATATGTATACACATATTTTGGCTATAAAAGAGGGGAAAGTGATAAGTTTGTTTGAATTTGAAGGGTATAAATACCAGAAATATGTGGAATTAATCAGCATAATAAAAGGCTTCAAGCTGAAACTCTCAAAGTACTGCACAATGGACCAGTAGAAACAATTGTGCATCAGAAAGGGAACAACCTGGTGAGAAACTTTAGCAGAATCTCATTTCCATTTCTATTTATTGGCCTATGTAGATATAAGTCCACTGACTCCAAAAAGACTTGTGTTTCCTTTGTAAGTGATTCCTTTTCAACTAACAGCTTGCACATACAAATTTACAATCACTTTCACATCGCTTAAAATTAGTTGTCCTGAGGTAACATTGCTTGGAGCAAAGAGTACAGTGTATTGAGCTATCTTTCTGACCCTGTAACTTACATATTATGTAATATTGAACAAAATTTAACTCTTCTTTTTCCACCTTTGGGAAAGACAGGCACTCCCGAGTGGCACAACTTCCATAATTCACACATGCGAATTATGAACCCGTGAAGGATCATTAGTTGGTATATCAACCATGCTTTAAAACATAAATGCTATAACATACTGATTAAAATAAATCTGATCTTTTAGTATCATCAAGTAAGATCAGTGAGTTTAACCCATTACAGTTAAAATGAGAAGGATAGGGAAATTAGCCTTCATGAGTATTTTTTTCACTATCCATAGGACCTCACAGGTGGGGTTATCTTGATGTGTGGAGTGGTAGGTTCACTGTATGTGTGGGAGAGCACGTAACTCCAGTGCAGGTAATCAGGGCTGTAATTGCAATTGTTTCAATACTAAACATATATTTCTTTACATTGACAGATTGTTTTGGAATGATAGAGAAGGAGTTTATTTTCCATCTCATGGAAAACAATGTTACTATCTGGCTGATGAGCACCAGTTCTCCTTTCCAGCATGTTGGTACTATACTGGACAAACTAGACAAGGTCCCTGATGACCCTGTTCCATCTCACCTTAGATTTGTGACTAACCAAGGAAACACAACTATGTATATCTTCACATCGGGAAGTACAGGTGAGGATGTGTGCTAAGAACATACTACTGGAACTACCTTAGAATTCATGTGGCATAAATTTGGAGCCAAGACAGGCACACAAAAAGATAGAAGTTAAATTTTTAAGTCACGACAGTGAACTGCACAAGAATTCATTTATTTAAAAGATATTTTTGCCTTGACATAACAAGGGCATTAAGTCCAGTTAGAGAACTTTTGCATAGATATTCCATGGCTGATTTTAATTCCTTAAGTATAAGGCCCGTAAAGTCAGTCTCTAGCAGCTGCTCAGATTTCATAGTGTCAAAATTGCACAGATCTATACTAAAAAGAACTATGGTCAGCACATGTGCTTGGGCCTTGGGGTAAAACTCTTCCTCAGTGATTGGCCTGAGTAATAAAACTTCACACTACTTCACTGGGAAAGAAAGGGGAATTCTTCCTCCAGCCAAGCCGGACAATGTTGTAAAAGTTATTCCTATTGCAAATAGCAGCTGAGCGGCACAACTCTTCAGAACCTTTTCAGTTCTTGCTTTGTGGTGAGGGAACACTGTGTACGCAGGGAATCTGCATCTGCTTGTGATGTGAAGGGACTTTCCTTCCCAGACAGAGAAGAGGACATGATCAAATAGCCTTAAAGGCAAACAGACCAAATAAGCTGATAGACTAAGAAGACACAGTCCTGATCTAAAGGCTGAAGGATGGGACAGGTGCAGGCTCAGAAAAAGGGATAGTTCTACTTGTACTTTCCAAACAATTCTGAACAGCAGCAAAACTGTGAATGCAAACAGCACATTTATAATGTTTTCCTCTCCTCACTTTGACAGGTTTCCCAAAAGCTGCTATCATTACTCACCTAAGAAGCCTATCTGCCTCTTTAGCCTTTACTCAGTGTGGGGCAGTTTGTCAGGATATTATGTATGTCACTCTTCCTCTGTACCACATCAGTGCTTCTCTTCTCGGCATCGGTGGATGCATTCAATTAGGTAATATTTGCTCTCCGGTGAAATTTCATTAACTTTCATTAACTGACGACCTCAGATGCTTTGGTTTCTTACAAATCATTAAGGGAGTTGTGAGGGCAGGCAAGGGAAGGGTAAAGAGAAAGAGGGAGAGAGAAAAGATGATTTGATCTAAAATTGCATGCTGCTTGTTACATACTTTTTACTAAGTCTCCCATGTGACAAAGAACACAATGAAGATATAGTTCACTCTATATTCAAAAGATTAACAGCAAATACAGTATAGACAAGACAGGAAATACAATACAGACAAGAAATACAATATAGAGATGTGCTGAATACATCTCTCCCATTCTATTGACATGCCAGTACATGTATAACTGTCAACGCTGTATCATTTTATTATTTGGTGAATGACCAAATTATGTTTTGTAATTATTTTGTAATTCATTATGTTTTGTAAGTAACAAATGAAGAGTTGAATTTGTGGAAATAAAACACATAAAAAGGGAAGTGGCTCACAGTCATCACCTTTCTTGGATGTAAAATTGTGATAAACAGAAAAAAAAAGGAAGGATCTGGTAAGGAAATCTTTCCTTAAAATATTATTTCCTCAACTATGCATTCCTACTAACTTACAATATGAAATTCAGTATCTTAAGCATTCCTCTATTATTTTAAATGGTGCTTACTGTAGCTTGAAGATATTTTAATGGATATTTACTTTCTGAAATCATATCATAAACATTTGTGTACTCATTCCTAGTAAGCATTTGCTATTTATGTAAATATCAATAAACCTTTTTCAGAAATTTTATTCTATGCCTGCCACTTCCTCAACTGGAAAATAGTGAAAAAACAGAGATCTTGACCATGTTATAAAAGGCAAAGTCTCAAAATGTAAAGCCAGATCCATAGCGGTTTTCTAGGTATACACCCTCAACTCTGGGTGTTTTTTTCTCTGGTTAATTTTTATTAAAAGACTCGACCTGTTTAGTTTCTGTCTTACATGAAAACAGTTTTCACTCACAGTTAGTGTATAATGTTCCTGTGTAAAGTTTTGTTTGATTGTTTCAGCCTTTCCTTTACTCATATGACAAGTAAATTAAATAAATTATGTCTCTTAAAATAAGAGATAAATACTACCACTTCTTACACAAATTCAGAAAACTGCCAGCTCCCTTTTCCCCCATGCCAACCTCTCTTTTTTTTCAGACTTACACTGGTAACAATCTTGAAAGAAATATAAAGGCTTTGACCTATTGCTGGAAATTGGAGACCACTAAAAGGTTGTAACAGTTTGTCCTAGCTGAAACCTGCCTAACTAACACCTAATGATCTATATAGCATATGACTAAGAAGAAAATATGGCCACAAGATTTCTTCTGCAGTTTTACATAGAAAAGAAAGAATGGGGTAGGATGCCTCCTAATATTTCGATTTAAGTGTGAAATAAGAGGACAGCGAAGCAAAAATTTCTTAAGATGAAAAGCGTCATTACAAATTTGAGTATGAAACTGGTATGAGGGGAAATCAGGTTTGCAAAGTACAATTAATTCCTACTCCTTTCTCCTTTTCATACTGTAAGTTTTTAGATTCTAGTCAGAAATCCAAGAAGAAATGCTCCATCATGCTAGGCACACTTAACAAAAAGACCTTGCTGCGAATGGCTTACTTTTTGCATTAGCTGAATTAAGAGTACGTTGACTTTTTTGTGGAAGATAGAATAGATTGTAATGGTTATTTTTAATTTCCTTGTTTGTTTTCATCATCTAGGAGCAACTTGTGTTTTGAAGAAGAAATTTTCAGCAAGCCAGTTTTGGAATGACTGTAGAAAATATAATGTAACAATGTTTTTGTATATAGGGGAGCTTTGTCGTTACCTTTGTAACCAGCCCAGTGTAAGTTCTGGTTTGTAACTGTAGCTTCAAAACATAGCAAATCTATATTTTAAGTTATATGGATTTACCTATTTCTTGGTGGTATAGTCCTTTTTATGCTTGACAGTTTTCTTCAGAGTATACAAATATGCAGTCTTTGATTGCTTGCAAATATAATGGAGTTACACAAGGATAAACCAGGCAGGACTGGACAGTTATGCTCACATACTAGCTTTAATCCTTCTATAAAGCCAAGCTTGTTTAGCTTTTCATGTGAGTGAAAATGATAACGCAGGGCAGGTCAGTAAGGAAAAGGTAAAAGCAGTATTATCAAACCCGATAATAACATGCAAGTAAGAACCAGATTAAATGATTAACCATCTGCCCTGCAGTGTTCCAAACTAGCTACTTATTAAGAGAAGGTTACTTTATCTCGTATTTAATATCTGATAAAAAAATCTCTGCAGGACTTTGAAAGTGTTGAATGAGTTGTTTATTTTTCTGAAAAGAATACATTTACTTTGCTCCAACAGCACCTTTTGCTTCCCTGCTGTATATATAAGGATAAACCCACCCTTATAAAGGCATGCCACTACTAGTGCGGTAGAAAGTCTTGGTTGCCCCAGGATAACAGTACTGAAGGACATGGAGATAAATCTTGATCAGATTTAGGACAAAAGTAACATGTCACTGAGCGCAGCAGCAACAGAAAAGCAAACATGTAAGCCTGAAAGCATTTATTATACTTGCAATACTTGCTTCTGGATAATGATGGAAAATTACTAAGATTGGTTAACTGTCCTCGTATTATATTTGGGAGTTTGGAAGTTGCTGAAGGGAGGTGGCAAGAAGGATTCCTACCTACCACAGAAAACATCACGTACAAGTACGAGGTTCAAATGCTGTCCACCTGCGTTAGTTAGAGAATGGCGCAAGGACTAGCAACAAAGGCACAACCGAGTCCATTAGCTCATCTGAACAGAGCCTTATTGTTGTGTGGTCCGGATGTGGGAAAGGAGTCAAAGAGAAAAAAGGCATCATCAGACCATAACCAAGCCAGGAAAGCTGTTGGCCAGAACTCCAGCCCGTACAAACATGTTGTCAGTACACAGATCAAACAACAAAGGAATGATTAGCCAGGCCAGACTAGTTGTGTAAAGGTCTCTTCTGCAGGAAAAGGCAGGAAGAACTTTCTTTATTTGGCTCAATGACTGGAATTTAACAGAGAGGATATTGATATTTAACTGGCAACTAGTAAGAAGAGTGGAAAACAGAAAGCGGGCCTAGCTAAGTTCAGAGTGTTGAGGATGCCAACAGAAGTGGATCAGGGTAAAGGCAGACTCCTATCAGAGGGATTAGATACTATGCTGATCCATAATGTAGTGTATCATGCACATTCTTCCACAGTGAGACAAGCCTGTGCAGGCTAATAAACCAGGCAGCCACATTTCACTTAGCCTCCTCTGCTGTGGGATGCCAGAGCATAGCCCAGTCCTGGTGCTGCCCAGATCAGGGCTACCTAGAGGAGGGACTGCTTGGAGTAAGCTCCCTCTCACATCCAGGGCACCAGGCCCTGCTTCCTTTCACAGAGCATGAAATCGGGTAAGAACATGGATGGGGGAACCAGGAAGCACTCCTGAGTTTCTTAACATAGACATAGACTCCAGAAACCTCTCTGACTAGCACATATCTATAGGAAGGTTAACTGGCATCCATGTACCTATCAGAACTAGTAAGTGTGAAATCTGGTACTCCACAGGAACTAACACAAACAAAACAAAATATTTGCTGAGGAATGTTTTTACAGAGAACCACATAGCTTTTAAAATGAAGATAATCTAAAATTCAGAATAATGCAGGGAAGTCTTACAGACTCTGTTATATCAGAGACTAGACAAGGCAATCTTAGTCGTTTTTCCTAGCTCTACAATCTCTTGAGCTCCTGAAATTTACTCAGTCCAAGTCCTACAGTTGCACAAGCTATTTTGGAAAAAGAAACATTGTCTCATCTTGAAGCCTTGCAGCATAGAAGAAGGGTCAATATCAGCTATCAAGTAACTACTGCAGCCTGCCCACCATCTGGTTCATAATTGGGTTCGATCACATTGACGCGTGCCACGCTATTCCTTGGGGTTAATCGTCACAATTGCAAAAGAAAGCAGGGCTGGTTAAGCGGAAGAAGGGAAATCTCCATTCCTGGTTTTAACAAGTGAAAGTCAGCCTGCATTACAGCTTATTGAGGCAAAACATGTATAATTTATCTGTCAGAAACGCAGTTCTGGATCAGATGAAATTGTCTGTTAATTGTCTATCTGACCCTATTAGAGTGAGCTCACAAAACTATTTCATACAAATATTTTTAAATGTGAAAAAGTAAGAATATTGATTCTATTAAAATATTTTGATATGATTCTTAGGTAAGCTATTTCAACTTTCCATTTAGAAACCACCTTTATTTTATTTAGAAATCAACTATACTATACAATTTTCAAAATTCAAAATGACACCAGAAGGGAAATAAAATGCACTGATTTAGCTTGAAGAAATCACTTTGCTGGACCTGAAATAATTCATTTTCTACTTTCTGTTGTTGTTCATTCAGGGAAGTAACTTAATCAATCAGTTCTACCTACCTCTCCAAAAAAGTGATGTTTTTTCCATGGTCAGACTCTTGACTCCACTTCTTACCTGGAGCTTAAATGTCCTTAAATGTGCAAGGTGCTGAGCAGTCTGGCTCAGTGCCGAAACTATTCGCTTACATAAGCATCTGAGTAGCATGTCATAATAGTGACATAGCTGATGTGTAACAATGACGTGTTAACAACCACATTTTGACTACAGGTCTGATTGATAGGAGCTTTGCTGAATATGGACTTCATCACATGTAGAGCTGACTATAAGCTGTCACCAGTGTTTTCTAAGATAGTATGTTCTTTATGTAATCGGTTTGGAAAGGAATTTCCATTCTATGGGAAATGGCACTATTTACAGAATATATGTTCACATTTCCAACATAAGACGATTCTTTTAAATTTTGTGACATAGACGTCTGATAGAATTTGGAAGTGAAAACGCAAAGGAGAATGATAGGAATGAAGAAAAACTGTTCACATTTTATGAAAATCTTTCAACCTTAGGCAAATAAGAATTCTCACAATTTTCTGGTTGATTTTTATAAAACCAATACCGTCCTGTGAGCGTGTTTGTCAAGTTGCATTATCTAAAGGAAAACTGTTCTACTAGGAAATTTTAGATCAACTCTACATATTTAGACCCCTTATCTCAGTTGCAGTGTATTTCTTTTTGGCTGTTCACAGAAAGAAGGGGACAGGGTTCACCAAGTGCGCATAGCTCTAGGAAATGGCATAAGACCTGCTATCTGGAAAGAATTCCTGATGAGGTTTGGCCCAATTAAAATGTTTGAATTCTATGGATCCACAGAAGGAAATTCTTTTTTCTTAAATTATACAAATAAAATTGGAGCTGTGGGCCGTGCTGGCATCTTTTCAAAGGTAAGTGTCAGCAAGTCAACCAATCAACTCCCTTTTCCCCTTCCCCCTCCCCCCCTCAAAAAAAGCAGGTCAAACAAATAAATATGTAAGAAATTATATAGTCAAGGAAAGTGTATAGGGTTTACCTAAAAGAAACTGCTTTTCATGGAAACCAAAACCTTAGTTTTACCCCCTCCATTGACTCTATTCTCTGAGCGTACATTGTGAAGTTAAAGTATACAGAAGTACAGAAGTCTACAGAAGCTAAAACTACAGCACTCATATAACAGAGATTTCCCCCCAGAACATATGAAAAATAACCCCACTGTATAGAAGTGCCTATGCACAGGACCAATTAAAGATAGTTTTAACTGAAGTTTTTTTGTCATCCTAAAAACTCAATATATATTAAGTGATGAGGCAGAAATCAGTTTTGATTTGACTTTTGGTATGAATTAGGAGATATACACTCCAGAACAAACTCTTACACAAATTTACTCTTTGATTGCATCTTGATTCATTAAAACTCGCATCACGCCTTGTTCTCTGAAATAAGATAAGCAGAAGAGCCAAACACTCAGAAACTCATCAACCAAGAAAGATAAATATAAATCTCAAAATATCTGAAATATAAACTTCAGATACATGAGTATTGTTGAAATTCTCATTTGAGATACACATCTTCCACTCATAAAAATGCTTTTACAGTCTCAAATGTTTTTCCTATTTGTACAGACTCTTTCTGAATCATGAAAATTAAACTACAATAAAATATTGTTCAAATGATACTAAAGATTCAGATCAGTTAACATCAAAACCAGATTAATGATTTCCAAATGATTTCTGCTTTTAATCTGAGACGCTGAAAATGCCTTCCCCTGGCCATAATAATAACTCTGCAATGCTTTTGATCTTTTAGCAATCTTAACTATGCGGACAGGGGATGAAGGCAGGAAAGCCTAAATCAAACCATTGTGCTGTAAGTTTCCACTTCGATCTGACTGGAGTAATTTTTGAGATGTCTGTAAATTTAATTTGGATTTTTTTCAGAGAATCTTCTCGATTTGCATTCCAGTAATGTTAAGCCATTACTTAGAAGAGGATGGAAGTTTTTCAGCAAAATCAACAGTTTGATCAAAAGCACTGTCCTATTTTATTTTATATAAATAATGTGAATCAGAGCGTACTCTAAAACAATGGATTTCATTTCTTCTCTTCATCAAGAAAGGAGACAATATTTTCATCTGTATATTTAATGTTGCTCACCACGACACGAATGTGTTCTGACAAACATCTGATTTCTTCCCAGTAACAGTGTCAGTATATTTCAGGCTGTTCCAAACCTTCCAAAGTTAATAGGGGATTATCTGTTATTTTAAAGTAATTTTAATCAGACCAGCTGGAAACTGTGTAAGACTGTGGGTTTTTTAAGTATGCGTATGCATTCTTTTATTTAGTTCCTATATTCTTTTGAATTGTTGAAATATGATGTCTGGAAACAGGAACTTATGAAGGATGAACATGGAAGGTGTAAGAAAGCACCCATAGGTAAGAAAAATTATTAGTTATCTATTAATTAACAAACAACTCTACCTGGTGATATTTTAGGGTAAGGATTAACTTAACTCTCTGCTCTGTGTGCAACACAGAGCAGTGTGCTTCTTGACATAATTAAACATTGAAAATTATATCGGGGAAACATCAACAGATATAGATAATACATCTGTATCAACAGATCTGTATCAACATATATAAATAATATCAAAAAATACAATCCTGTAAGAGTGTAATCTATACTCAAGGCTCAGAATGATTTTGCTCTCACCTGCAGGAACGCACATTTGAGTTCCTGAATAAATAAAGTATCTGAGTATTTCTGTTTTTTCCAAATAAAATGGGCAAGTAACTTATAGATAATATTGTATTTTGAGACCAGATGCTTTCTAATCTCTAAATTAAGAGTTTTGAGAAAGAACAAAGTGCCTTTACAAAATCTGCAGGGTATTTTTCACATTTTTACATTCAGCAACTGAAGCAGATTTAACTATTTAATGCCAGAGTTGCATAGAATCTCCAAATCCTACTTTGAATAGGACACTAAATCAAAGAGCTGAAGCTCTCAGATGGAAAATAGCACATCTTCACAGCTGAGAGTGTCACATTTGAGAAAAACCCAGAAAAACTGCTCTAACAAAAGGCATAGTAGGGCAGCTTAGTAAAGTTACCTTAAATCTGTGTGTGTGTTAGTATGTGTGTGTGTACGTATGCATGCATCTATGTTTGACAAAGTTAACAGTTCTGGGAAAAAATCTTTAACATCTCTAGCTTTGATAAGGTAGATTTAACTATCATCAAGATAAAGTTCCAGAAGTCAAAAAAGGTGCCTTAGCAGCTGAGCAAAATAATATTTGCAATAATAACATCAAACCTCAACGAAACATAGTAGTATTGGTACTCAAAGTAATAATCATTATTAATGATTTCTGAGACTATATTATTTTTTGATAATATCTAAACTGAGCAAAAGTGATTTTTTTTCTTGAAAAAAGGCTAGGTTAAAAACTGGACAAAATGTCTTGCTTTCATAATGAAATTGGTAAGATGCACTGGTTTCAGGGCACAACTAAAACAACTGCAAATTTTTTTGATTTTTACATGTATTTTTAAAACAAATTTTGCATCTAAAGCCATCAATCAACGCAAAGTGAGACAGCAATGACTGTGAAGTCCCAAACTGGAATAAATAATCATCATGTAAAAACGGCTAGACCATTGGACAATTCTTTTTTTTAATTCAACATCTTTAGATGGTTTTATTCTTTTGTTATAAAGCACACATCTTATTTGCAGTGGTGTGAGTTCCTCTGGACTGTAATATGAGCTTTCATCCCAGTTTCCACATCTAGAGTTCAAAACAACAAAGAGGATTTCATATAAGAGACAGCTATGCAGCTATGAAGAAAACTATTTGTTTGAGAAACATCTCCATACATCTCCATTTCCTTCAACATCCTGTTGAAGGAAAAATAATAAAAAACTTTGGAAGCTGGAAATGTCTTTTAACCTCAGAAGCAGACTGGGAAATAAGCCAGTACCTACCATAGACATAGAACAATGAAAATGCATTTACAAGGGGTGTTCCGAGCCAATTCCAGTGAAATTAATGGGATTTTTGCCCTTGATATAAATGGGATTCATACTGTCAGCTGTAATGAGTGCTGCCCAGTAGGAAAACCCAGCAGACTCTAGGGGCTCCAGGATGTTCTTCGGAACAGGCACACCATCAAACTTCTCACCATGGCCTCCAGCATGCGTTCCCCACATTGACATCATGCTGAGAGCAGTAACAAGCCTGTCCTTTAGAAAAACACAAAGCACAAGAAGTCAGACACGGTGTTTTGCCTCCATGTGTGTTGTCTGACTACCAGCATCCTTTTCAGATGACAAAATAGTTGTCCGATCCTTGGCAAACGCTCTTCAAGGGGGAGAGAAGAACATTGGGAAGGGTGGGAATAATACAATGGAAAGAGCGAAA